GTCCCTAGAGCCTGGCACTTTGAACTTGGACTTAAAGCCTCCAAATTGTAAGAATAAACTCCTGTTTGTTAAGACCATCCCATTTGTGGTATATTCTTGTCAGAATGACACTAGGTAACCAGAACGACATTGATTGTTTTTCTAATGTTGAACCATCCTTGCATACCTGATATGAACCCAACTTGCTCATAATATATTATTTTTTGGATAAGTTGTTGGAGTCTCTGTGCTGGGATTTTGTTGAAGATTTTTGCATCTATATTCATGAGGGATAATGGTCTGTATTGTACCTTTTGAGTGATGTCTTTGCCTGGTTTTGGTATCAAGGTTATGCTTGCTTCATAAAATGAGCTAGGGAGGATCTCATCCCTTTCTGTGTTTTGGAATAGTTTGAATTGGATTGGTGTCAGTTTTTCTCTGAATGTTTGGTAGAATCCTCCAGTGAAACCATCTGGGCCGGGCCTTTTTTTGTTTGTAATTTTTTTGTGACCTTTTCAATTTCTTCTTTTGTTATGGATCTGTTCAACTTTTCCACATCAGTCTGTGTTAGTTTAGGTAAGTGGTATGAATCACAATACAAATTTTTAAAAAATAAATTTAAAAAACCCAGGTCTCCTACATGGAAGGCAAGAATGCTACCACTGACCCACCACTGCCCTGTTGTATATTTATTACTCCTTGGTTGTTCCTATAAAAGAAAGCCACATACACAGCTGTCCTCTCCAAGCATCAGCTTTGGAAAGTACATGGTTCTTTTAAGCATGTAGAGGCATCGCATTAACAGGTACTATTCTGGTATAGGAGATGGTCCAGGGTGCTTGGAAATGTCTTTCTTTAGAGAAGCTGCTGGTGTGAAATCTCAAGGAAGTCAGCCACCACCAGCCTCAGAGCCAGGCATTGGCCCAGTTGCCCTTGCTGAAATGTATTCAGGGAGATGGGACAGGAAGCTGTAGTGAAGAAAGTGCAGTGACAAAGGGGGACATCTGCCTGGGGTTTGGAATGGTGCCATCAGGGTCCTAAACCTCTGCTTTTTTCTTTTAGGTACTGAAGGAAGAGGCTGAGATGATGAACTTGGAGGTGAGTTCTTTATGAGGATTTGTTTAAGGAGTGAATTCCTGGAAGAGCCCCTTTTTTTCTCTGCACAAAGTATACTTTCTCCCACAGAGCTTGCAAAAATATCAGCTCGTACTGGAAAACATTTTCCCTCTAACCTGCTGCCATGTGGGTGACTCTGGGTGATATGGGAAGAGTTAAGCCCCTCTGAATTCTTATCTGAGCTTCCACCTTCAGTTAGATTAGGCCTTACCCACTATAGCTAATCCTGAAACAACACTCATAGGCTGGGGTGTGGGTGCTGGGCCAGAAGCCCTGTCTTGTGTTATTCTGGGGACACTTAGCTGTGGTTACAAAGAACTTTCCCTGCATTGACTCCTTAGCATCTCTCTCACTTATACTACCACTATTAATTGAACTAAGTTGAGCCTCTTGGTCCCTTTGTTTTTTCCTGATCATCAGTTCCCTCCCTTTTTCACTCCCTTCCAAGTCCGGCCTTCTTTCTGGTGTCTTACACTTCAATTACCAGTGTGCTAATGGCTTGAAATCCTTTTCTTCTCCTGTCTATCCACCATGGCAAATCCAGAGGTGGTCCCCACAGGGCAGTGGGTGTGGGCAAGTGGCACAGCTTCATGCTTGCTATAGCTGGCAAAAGTCTCAAATCCTCATCTGAGCTCTCAGCTCTTCCTGCCAGGTCCCTTCAAAGCTCCAGGGGCCCCACATCTTGTTGTCCTCAACAAGGATTTTAAGTCATCATCACTATCTCTAAACTCTGTCCTGTTCTTCTCATCTCCCTCCTCACTCTTAGCATCTGGATCATCTTTTAGTTTATGGAGAAAAATTAGAAGCAACAGGCATTATCTCCCTCAATTCCTGCCTCCCCATTTGTCTGGTTCCTCCTGTCACTGTGGAAGAGAAGCTTACCAGTGAGAGCATTCTAGGCACCCAACTCAATGTGGCTTTTATCCTGGAAGTCAAGGCAGAGGGTAGGTTTGAAGGCTGATCCAGCAGCTCAGATTTGCATCAAGAACCCAGGATCTTTTCATCTCTCTGCTCTGCATCCACATGTTGGCTGCATCTTAGAGGCAGATCCCCTTGTGTTTTTCAGGTGACTACCAGCAACAGCTGGACTCACACAAACTCATTCTCACTCAGCAGGAGAAAGAGAAGGCTTCCTACAGCTCTCCCAGAAGAGTGTGGGACTCCACACCTTGAAGCCTCACCAAATACCTTATTCTGTATTGTTGGCCAGAATTGGGTCACGTGCCCATTCCTGGACTAATTACTGTGGCAGAGGAGCAGGGATTGTGTGGACTGGCCTAGACTAATTGGCCACCCCAGGAGCAGCTTCCCCTGAGGCACCTGAACTGGGTATAAAAGGGAGATGGGGGAATGGATATTAGGGAAACAGAAGGTAAACTCCCTCTGTGACATTATGGAGTAGAAATTCTCCTGCCTGTTCAGACCTTGCTCTTCCTCCTTAATTGTCTTTTTACTGCTGCATTGTTAACCTCATTTCTACTAGTTATTTCTCATTAATGTCTTAAAATGCTTTACCTTTTACCATCTTCAGAACAAAACAGTACTCCCTTTGACATTACATCTTGTTAAGCTACTGTTATCCTTTCTCTCTCCACCCCTTCAGAAGTAGGCTTCTTAAAAGATAGCTGCATTTAATTTCTCCATGTCCTCTCACCTAGCCATTCTCATCCTGACCCATCTATTGGTTTGTTGAACTGTGGTGGCTGGTGTGTTTCTAGATGCTGGAAAATATGCCACCAGTATTACGAATACCAACAGGATCACCAATGGTGAACAGGTTTCAGTGGAACTTCCAGACTAAGACAGTCTAGAGAGGAAGAAAACCTGATAATCTACTGCTAAAAACTAACCAATGAAAATTTTATGGATCACAACAGAATACTTTCTGATACAGTGCTAGAAGATGAGCCTTCTAGGTTGGTGGGCACTCAAAATACATAGTGGACACAACTTTAAACTCAAGCATGCCAAAAATTATGAAGATGGTGTGGGATCAGGAATCATTTCATTCTGTTGTACCTGGAGTTGCTATGAGTCAGAGCAGACTTGAAAACAGCTGATAACAACAGCCATTCTCAGCCTGCTGCAGTCTGGCTTCTTTTCCTATCATTGTACTGAAATTAATCTTGTCAGAGTCACCAATGATCTCTTTACATTCTTTAAAATTTATTTTTATAATTAGATAAATATATGTACATGGCACAAAACTTAAAAGGCTACAAAATGGTAAACAGTCAAGCCTTTTTACTGCCTTATCACCACCAGCCTTCCACTCCCTGGAGCTAACCTCAATTAACCATTTTCTTTCACCTCTGATCTCCTTATCTGATGGCTGCTGGGGTTCACTTTAATTCTCATGGTAGTTTACATTCTGAAGAAAGAATAGAAACTTTGCATTAATGTTAGGCTTACTCAAACTGGTCCAGTAACAGTTCCGTCAATTATCATTTGTCCCTTTCATCTTAGAATTTCAACCTCTCCACTGTTGACTTTTTCCTCTCAACCTATAAACCTTTAGAAACCACTTCTAGAGGAGTTCCGGTAAGATGGCAGAATAGGCAGAAAGACTGCACAAACCCTCTTCAACAAAGAAAAGGAGAACCAATTAACACAGATACAAAAGATAATCCTGGACCCCTGAGCTTTGAAGGGAAGGATATAGAAGTGGACTAAACTCCAATTAGCAGAAGAATTTGCATGAAAACACCAAAAAAGGAGACATATAGAGCTGCAGTCTGGCAGTGATCCTGACAGCACAGATAGCTTGGATATTGCTGAGTGGTGTTAGGACATAAGAACTAACCTAAAAATCAGTCCTGCTAGCCAGGGACTGCATGGAAGACTGCTCTGGTGACTGGTGAATAAAAGAGGAAGCAGCAAAGAGGAAGGTAGGCTGAGCTGTGGACTTTTGCCTGTCTGGAGCGCGCAGCCATTTTGAATGTTTACAAGTGCTTGGACCATTGTGGATTTTTAAAGCAACAGCATTCTACCAGATTCCAAGGACTTAAGAATAGTCTCCACTTGCTGGGAACTGCAAGGATATTCCAGATGGCAACAACTGAAATGTGTGATATTCCGCTTGTTACTCTTTTACCCCACACCCTCTTGTTGAACTGAGGTGCAGCCATCCCTCATTCCCTCCCACCTTCTAGGCTAGCAGGAATTCCATCCCAGTCTGTGCGCTTGGACAGAGACTGGGTGCCCTGCCCCGATTTTATTTTTCTTTTTTTCCTTTTGTTTTTTTTTTTTTTCTGTTTTAAAACTACTCTGGTAGCATAGTGGCTAAGGCACTTGACTGCTCACCAGATGGCTGGCGGTTCAAACCCATCAGCCACTCCTCGGAAGGAAGGTTGGGCAATCCTACTTCCGTAGTGATACTGCCTCGGAAACCCAAGGAGGGGTCGCTATGAGTCAGGGCTGACTCGACGGCACATAACAACAACAACAACAACTATTATTGTTACATTTGTCCTTTTTCTTATTATTCTTCATTCTTCCCTTCCCAGGTTCTAGTTTTCAGCTTTTTCTTCCTTCCCTGTTCCTGGTTCAAATTTTTTTTTTCTTCACTATTCTCCTTCTCTACCTTTTTTCTCTTATTGCACTCTCCCCAGATAATTGTGGTGATTGTTTTTTTTTTCTTTTCCTCTTTTTTCTTCTTTTGGTTATTATTCCTGTGTGATTACACACTGTGTTTTTTGTCCATTTCCTTTTACTTTTTTGATGGTTATTCAGTTGTTCTTTTTGTCTGACTGAGTGGGAGACAGCAACACTCCTCATACAACACAACTACACCCACACTCCTTGGAGCTTCACTTACTGAGTGAGAGCCACCACTTCATTCTCTACCAGCGGGCCAACGATAAACAACCACAAAGAAGAGCCTGACTCACCCTTTGCTGCTCTTCACAGTAAACACAGATCTAAATACAACAATGTCACAATGTCTTGGAGACAACAGACCATTAGAGTCCACAGAAAAAAGCAAGGTAAAGTGGTAGAAACAAGGAAGCAGGATACAGACCCAGAACACATCCCTGAGGAAGAAATAGCATTGGAACTCCCTGATAAGGAATTCAAAAGAATTATATTTAGGTATCTTCAAAGGACTGAGAGACAGATGAAGGAAAACACAGAGAAAACCCTAGAAGAAATTCAGAAGGAAATAAAAGAACAAAATGACAAAATAAATGAAAAATTAGAAATGATTCAAAGTCTACAGATAGAAATATAGAAGATTCATACTAAATTGTTAGCAGTAGATAACACATCGAAAAGGCAAAGGATAGAGTTGATGCAATGGAAGATAGAATTAATGAGATTGAAGACAAATACCAGAATACTTCTTTGAAAAAGGATTAATCAGAAAAAAGATGAAAAAAATGAAGAAAACCTATGGTTCATGTGGGATACCATCCAAAGGAATAACCTACATGTCATTGGAATTCCAGAACAGGAAGAGAAAAGTAAAACCACAGAGAAAATTGTCCAAGACTTGTTGAAAGAGAAGATCCCTGATATGATGAAAGATGAGAATGTGTCCATTCAGGAAGTCCAACAAACCCCAAACAGGATAGACCCCAAAAGAAAATCACCAATATATATCACCAAGATATATATTGATGACAAACTTATCAAACCAAAGATGAAGAAAGAATCCTGAAAGCAGCACAAGAAAAACAAAAAGTTACTTACAAAGGACAACCAGTAAGAATAAGCTCTGATTTTGCAGCAGAAAGCATACAAGGGAGAAGGCAATGGGATGGTATATAAACAACCCTGAAAGAGAAAAATTTTCAACCAAGAATTATATACCCAGCAAAATTGCATCAAATATGATGGTGAAGTTAGGAGATTTCCAGATAAGCAGAAACTATAAAGGAATTTTTTAAAACCAGACCAACCTTACAAGACATACTAAAGAGAGTCCTTTGAACAAAGAACCAAAAATAACAAATAACAACCAACCATTAATACACAAGATGACATAACCCAGAAAGCACAGCTATGGACATATCCAAAGTAAAATAAGCTTATGAGCTTATAGACAGGGAACCAGAGACATCAATTGTCAAATTAGGACAACCACAATTCTCTGATATGTAGTGCCTAAGGCACTTGACTGCTAACCAGAAGGCTGGCAGTTCAAACCACCGGCCACTCCTCAGATGAAAGGATGGGCAATCTACTTTTGTAGTGATACCATCTTGGAAATCCCAGGAGGGATTGCTATGATTTGGGTCCAACTCAATTGCACATAAGAACAACAACAGCAGCAGCAAACCAAAAAGAGGGAAAATACTGTGTAGTTACCGAATGTCTAAATGGTGAGGAAATCAGGAGAGTTGCAAGATAGAAAGGACTGTTCTAAACTTGGGGATAAAATTATAAATCATAGGGTAACCTCAAAGAAAAATGATAAACTTTCACATCACAATAAAAAAGAGGACAAGCACAAATATTCAGCAAATACTAAAGCAACAGTAACAAAGGAAATGATAACACGATTCATAAACATAATGAGCTTAGCACAGAAAATAATAATGGAATGAAGAAACCAGAGACACCAATAAAAACCGCATAACAAAATGACAGCAACTCATTCATACTTGCTGGTAACTACACTGAGTGTTAATGGATTAAATGCACCACTCAAGAGACAAAGAGTTGCAGATTGGGTAAGAAAACAAAACCCATCAATATGCAGTCTACAAGAGACACACTGTAGAGACAAAGACAAAAATAGACTAAAAATCAAAGGTTGGAAAAAGATATATCAAGCAAATGGCAACCATAAAAGAGCAGGAGTGGCAATACTAATTTTTGATCAAATTGACTTTAAGACAGAAACCACCATATGAGACAAGGAAGGACATTACATAATGAGTAAAGGATCAACTGAACAAGAAGATATAACCATAATAAATACCTATGGACCCAATGACAGAGCCCAGTATACATAAATCAGACTTTAAAAGAGTTGAAAAGGCAAATAGATGACTCCACAGTCATAGTAGGAGACTTTAATACACCACTTTCAATGATAGATAGAACTGGAAAGAAACTCAACAAAAATAAAATAACTAAACAATACAATCCAACAACTTGACCTTACAGACATCTGCAGAGCACTTCACCCAACAACAGCACAATATATATATTTTCCAGTGCACATAGAACATTTTCCATGATAGACCATATGTGAGGACATAAAGAAAGCCTTAATAAATTTAAAAACATTGAAATACTGCAAAGTATCTTCTCAGATCACAATGCTATCAAATTAAAAATCAACAATAGGAAGATCAATGGAAAAAGAATAGACACATGGAACTGAACAACACCCTCCTTAACAAAGACTGGGTAAGAGAAGAAATAAAAAATGAAATTAAAAAATTCCTTGAATCAAACGAGAATGAAAACACAACATACCAAAATCTTTGGGACACAACAAAAGCAGTGATCAGAGGCCAATTTATAGCAATAAATGCACACATCAAAAAAGAAGAAAGAGCCAAAATCAACACTTTAAACCAGCACCTCCAACAATTAGAAAAAGAACAGCAAGAAAAGCCTACAGTTACCAGAAGAAAGGAAATAACCAAGATTTGAGCAGAAATCAATGAAACAGAAAATAGAAAGACAATAGAAAAAATCAACAAGACCAGACATTGGTTTTTTGAAAAGATCAATAAACTTGACAAACCACTGGCAAATTTAACAAAGGAAAAGAGGGAGAGAATACAAATAACACAAATAAGAAACAAAATGGGTGACATCACAAAGAATCAACTGAAATAAAAAGGATAATATCAGTATACTATGAAGAACTGTACTCCAACAAATTTGAAAATCTGGAAGAAATGGACAAATTTCTAGAAACACACCACTTACCTAAACTAACACAGACTGATGTGGAAAAGTTGAACAGATTGTTGTTATGGAACAAAAGAAGAAATTGAACAGATCATAAAAAAGTAATGACCCAGACAATTTCACTGGAGAATTCAACCACACATTCAGAGAAGAACTGACACCAATCCTACTCAAATATTCCAAAACATAGAAAAGGATGAAATCCTCCCTAACTCCTTTTATGAAGCAAGCATAACCTTGATACCGAAATCAGGTAAAGACATCACTCAAAAGGGAAACTACAGACCAATATCCCTCATGAATATAGATGCAAAAATTTTTAACAAAATCCAATCCAATAGACTCCAACAACATATTGTGTTAGACTGGGTTCTCTAGAGAAACAAAACCAGTAAAACTTATATATATGTGTGTGTGTGTGTGTGTGTGTGTGTGTAGAGAGAGAGAGAGAAAAAAAAATTTATCTTAGGAAAATGGCTCACACACTTACAGAAGCTGGCAAGTCCATAGTTCCTGGATCAAATGTCAAGCTGGAGGTTTTTCCCAACTCTTGCAGCTGCAGGGCCTGAGAAGCTCAAGGCTGGCAGGCAGTACACAAGCTGTTGACTCCAATGAATGACGAATCCAAGATCTCCAGGCCGAATGGTGGATTGTTCACTCACAGACCG